TTGTTAGTATGTGCGATTACTTTAAAAATACTAATTTATTTTTTTCAATAATCATTATTGTTTTACGTGATATACTGCAGATAGACGAGTTTTCGATAGATTTTTTTTCATTTTTTTGTTAAATAAATATATATTAACAAATCTAACAAGTCTTCATAAATATAAAATTCAAAAGTATAAGTGTATTATTGGAATTTAATTATTCATTAAAGGCGTTAGACAATCTAAGTAATTGGAACAAGTTAGGGAAGAGGTACTGCTGAGTACTTTCCTTCCCCTTGCCTGTCATGTCATTTACCATATACCGCCATCACGTTTGCTGATTGTCAACAATAAGTTGACAGGCACAAATATATTTTTGATAGACAAAAAAAAAATATATTCATCGTCATAGAAAAATATCGATATAATATCATCACTATTGTTTTGAAAAAAAAAAAAATGAGTGACACTGTTCGTAACACTATTTGATTTTTAATTTTAATTTCAAAATGTGTTGACCTATTATAAGAAAACTATATAAAATCAATAGAGATCGGTGTTTTCACGTTTTCTAGAAAAATGTGTTTCTTTAGTTTTAGGAATAATAAAGGTATCTGTTATTAGACGTACATATATATATATATATATATATATATATATATATTTTATTTTTCTTCCTCATATTTTATTTTTAGATATTATAAACAATACAATATTTAATATTGCAATTTGCAATGAATAAAAACAGGATGCCCGCCATTTAACACATAACCTATAAATGTGCCCTCAGATGGATAAAGGTTGGGAACCCCTGTTCTAGATAATGATGAATTAAATTAAATGAAACCCAAAGCATTAAACCTATATAATTGATGTCGGTGTAGGTTGTGCTGGGATGTTGACTCGTGGAACCACTAATCAATTTATGTTTTACTGTGGCCAGGGTTCGTGGTTACTGTAAGGCCACTCAGTATATTATCCCCAACGGCGATATTGTCCCTATAATCTATTGTCATTAGAATGGACTGCGCTTATTATGGAGTGTAATGAATTTTCATAATAAAAGATCCATCATCCAGTTTCTTTCCATCATTCTTTTTTTTATGAAATAATTTTTCTTCTTCTTTCGAAGATTATGAAAATTTTAATTTCATCTCCGAGAAATTCGTTAATCAGTGTACCATGAAGTAAAAGTGGCCTAATATTCTGTTTCAGATTTGTTTTGCTTCCTCACTAGTGAATATAGGGAAGCTTTGTATTCCTGCGGGAGGTTAATTTTTGTTTTTTCCTCAGAATCGAAAATTGCTACGGGCGTTTTATGTTTCAGATTTTGGTTTCAGTGTCTGTCTGTAGTAAAATAGATTTGACGGGCATATCACCTACTATCGTATATCCGATTTGCCTGAAAATTTCAGGGATTTGTGCTGATTGACGCAATTTCAGATCAATTATATCAAATTTCATCCAATACTTTTACTTACGCATACACAAAAGTATTTTCTTCGATATGCCAATATTTCGAAAACGACTCGTTTGGTTAGCATTAACTTGGAAGAATGGTGGATATTGGTAAAAAAAATATGTATTAATTTTATATAATTGCTACTTTATCTTAATTATACGCGTATAACATCCTTGATACCCCTATATCTAAAAAAACCCACGTTTGGTTTTGCTTAAATTACGGAATAATGTTAAAGATTAATAAACAAATGATCAAGTTGTTAAATTTCATCCATTGCATCCAATACATTCGAAAAAATTCCTCCGCTTTCGGATTTGCGAAAGTATTGATTTTGGCACGCCTATAGTTCGACAGCGGCTCGTCCGATTTGACCCAAACTTGGAGGAAATTTGGGGAATATTTTAGAAATCGGCTAGTATATATTTCATTGAATCAATTTAACGATTAAAATTAACATAAAGTTAAGGATATAAGAAGTGAAATGTTAAAACTATTTTTTATAGGGTTATCAAATCATAGCTTGTATTACATAAAGAACTTCAAATGCCAACAGTTAACGATCACATACGAATAAACTACAAGCGATTTCACAATAACTTACATGGACATACTAACACACTTATACAAAGTATGGCTACATTTAACATGCCCGAAAACACACAATCAAAAGGAGCTGGATGAGGGTTTTCTTCGCTTAAAAATATGCTAAAATCAAGACAGGAAGAGATGCCGCTGGGCACTCCTCTCCATCACGCCGATCAAGCCACTACCTGTACACTTACCGACAGCAGACCCGCTAATTGTCATTGCTTATGACAGGTGTGGGTGAAGAAATGAAGTTTATAAAAAAATAAAAAAACTGTGTTCTTAGTTCAATTCTATGTTACTTGCATGACACTTACTGCCGTTACTTCGATTTCATGTAATTTTCAGTGACTTTGAGGGTTGAAACTTAGATCGTCCAGCACAGATCATACCGAATACTTTTTTCCCAACGGTGTGCGTTCTTCCTCAACTATATGTACGGTAGTCCCTTAACATTTACCTAGGTTAGTTTCGAGAAAAATTAAGCTAATCTCAAATTCCTTACTTTTGTCTGTGTTTCTTTATAAACCTTTGTATAGTTAAAAGTCTTCTTTTCTGTCTGTCTGTCTTGTTGGTTTCTTTTGATATTCAACCAGCTTGTCGTGGTCTCCAATTCCTACTGAAACGCCCAAGTGATGTAAACTTTTCTCATATTTTTATATTCCACCTTAAGGTAGTTGTTTGCTGAATGATGGGAAATGTTGATATCCTTAACACAGAACAAACTAAAATTTTTTTTTCAATGGATTTTCGTTCTCTCCCTTTTACAAGTAAAAACATATTTATTAAGTATATATGTATGTTCAGTATTTACATACATATAGTACTAGGATTTTATTTTTTTTAATCATGAATAGTCAACTACGTAATCTGCCAATGTGAAAGTCTTCCGCATTTTTCTATTCACTATAGAACAAAGTAAGTGAGTATTAAATCTGCAAATTGAGAGATTACAGTATTTCCGAAAACGGCTTCCGAAGATTGTATTCTCAAACGAAAATTATAGACTTTGAAATATACATAATTGTTTAGCTGAAGAAAATAGTGAAAAAGCTATATTTATTCTAACTTGCAAGACTTTTTTAAGAGGATATGTTAATACATGCCTGGTTTATCAAGAAACCGTTTCATCGTAGTTTAATGTAATTTTTATATAAATATTAAATAATAAAACAGGAATTGGATAATACTCGTTAGGGTATGACTCATTTCATTAGTTTGTTTTATAACCTTTTTTTTATCAACAATTTATAACAATTGTTGTTTCTTCTAACGTTCAGTAAAAGTGGTTAGAGTTGCAGTGCTCTCTGGAAGACCCACATGTGACTCGCTAGCCTGATTTTTCGAACCACTGACCTAGCCAAGCAAGTTGAATAAAAATGTCTCCATCCAGCATCAAACGGGGTTCGAACTCGCAGGGACAAATCAACAGCGCCTTATCCAATATTTTTGAAGATGGTCTTATTTTTAATTTATTAGTTAGATCTGTTTCTATCTCTTCTATTTCCTAAAATTTGATAGACTGTTTTTCTTTATACTTTTCCAGCCTTTTGTCTTAATGGATATAACTATTGTTGAAATTGAATGACTTATAATTTCAGTTCGGTTGATTAAAATATTGATACATTGATCAATGAGAGTGATCAAATGGCGAGTGAACCACGGGACTGAGTAATGAAATATTGGCTACTTAGCACAATATTTTTAATTAGCCATAATCTCTATTTTCTGATCAATAAAGAATTATGTAAAGCGAAAAATTTATTTCTTTGAAAATTTGAAATAAGTAGGAATACGGAGCAATCAATTCAGCAAAACGGAGACCCCTTTGAACAGTTACTCTAAATGTTGTAATAATAATAAATAAATAGTAATAATAAATAATAAATTTTTAACCTTTGATATCTGTTTAATAAATGAGTTTGAGATATATGTTAATATGAACTTTTTTACTTATTTTGTGTTAGTGAACACATACCTAAAATTATGCCGTGCAATTACGAAACACCTTGTATACTAGTAAAATATTTTTTTTTAGATAATAATATCTATTACCAACTTTTCCTTCTTTAACTGATTTAACTAACTTTATATATATATATATATATATATATATATATATATATATATATATATATATATATATATATATAAATTTATATTTGGATATTTTAGTAGAATACCATCGAAATGTGTTACTTTACTTCTTAAGATAAATAGATAGCATTACCACAATAATGAGAAATATTTTGATTTTTATATTCTAAGCCGCAAAAGGCCTGGTATGGAAATATTAAGGCATTATTCTCATTGGCGAGTACCAAGTTCAGTTGAAGAATGACCATCAGTTGTCTGATATGTTTCTTTCTCCTCGTATTGATCTGCGTTAGACAACCTATATTAAACTTTAATTGCTGGATTTCTTCTTCTGTATAAAGGTGATGGTGAAGCTTTTCATTTTTATAAATATATAACAGTTTTAGTTATTAATCTCTTCATTGTTTGTGACTTAAAAAAAATGAGAAAAAAAGGAATATGATTTTAATTTATTTTGGTCGGAATTTATATTTTCATAAAAATTTCTTTTATATATCGTTTTTTTGTTATATTTCTATTTTTTTTATTAGGTTTTAAAAAAGAAACATAGGTATTTCTCCAAAATCGTATTTTTACAAAAACTTTTTTTGTGAAACATATTATGTTTCTTTATTTTTATGGTAATAGTTTTTAATTGCACCAGTTTTTGATTCTCAGGGTTTTTTGTGGGTTTTAGAAAGTAGTTAGAATTCCTCCATCCGACCTATAAACTTTGTTTTAAAAAATAATAATATTATACAAAAAATATTAAAAAAGTGCAAATGAGTTGTTTTTTCTTTTATTTATATTCTAAAAAATATTAAGCTATAAATTTTTAAAGTGGATGAAAAACACAGATTATCTTCAAAAGTCCAAAAACTGGTACAGAGTAACAAGAAGTGTATCAAGATAAGGAAACATAAATAAATAAATAACATTTAATAATATTTATTAGTTCCCTGATTACATTAACATATCAGTATCAGTATGAGTGGTAAGATTGAAAGTAGACTGAAGTAGTTCTCATTTTGCTAAGCCTGCCGGCCATCTTGATATGTTGTTCAGTAGAGACACTTAGAGATTCAACTTTTAACAGTATAATTATAATATATTATATATTTAAGGACAGGAAACTGTTTTTCAAGATGCTGGGAAACCTTTTAGACAATTTGTTTTTGCCTTTTTGCAAAGCACCTCAACAGCTCCTGCCGACTACTAACACTTAGAGATAAAATAATTCACATTTAAAATAACACCAATTTAAAATTCTTCTTAAAGCCATCAACATTTAGGCCACCTCACCGGAGTCGATATTTGTCATAATCAAAATATATCCACTTTTTTTTGTTTTATTTTTATTTATTTATTTTCTTTTAATATCTATATAGATTAAGATAGAATAGTCTTTTATAAATTAATGATATGTTTTTTGTTTGTTTTTATTTTTACCTTAAATCGTAAAATTGTAGGAGCTATGATATGTATATTATATTATGACGATTGATATGTATATATTTAAATATACTGTGCCGATACAACCATAGAAAATATAGATCTAAAAGCTTAGAGGGTTTCTGCTACATATTTTGATTTAAGAAGAGCGAACGATGGAAGGACATTTTATAGGAAGACTGGAGTCTTTCCAGTGATCCTCTTCTCTCCAGCGGTCCTCTCGATCTCCACCTTGGCGTGGTCTGAGGCTACCGGGCCGATGCACACCATCGGGTCTGTGAAGTAGGAGCACATCTGAAATATAACGTACTTTATTAATTATGTGCAAGGGAAAAAAATCATGTTAATTTGAGCTGCATCTGATAAAGAACGAGCATATGTTTAAGATTACAACTTTTAAACACAAAAAAAAAACGGTTCATATTCAATTAGAAACTGAAAATAGTAATGCGTCTGGGAGGTATAGTGATGACTGGCACAAGACTACAATAGCATGGCGTATACCGCTGCCAGACACGATGCTAACAAACATCTCTTAGCACTACTTTAAAAACTTTTACATATAAAATCTAATAAAATGCATTTTTTTTCTCTTTAACTATTTATCCGCACCTGTCATGGTGTTGACAATCAGCGGATGAGTTCTGATGATGAGGATAGGCATTAAAGGCATGAGGAAGGATAGTACCCAGTAGTACCTCTTCCTGGTCATTATTATTTTTTTTTTTAGGGGAGAAGATCTCTCATCCAGCTCCTTTTTAATCTCCTTCTTGTTGGGCATGTCAGTCGTAGTCATGTCGGTTATAAATCTGTTTGTGTTTCCGTGTAGTTAAAGATGAAAATGAGAGTAGAGAGTACGTATGTGTTGGTCTATAGTTGGTTGTCGTAAATCGTTATGTAAAGTTTTGTTGTTGACGTACCAGGGAGCTCTTGTTATAAGTCGTAAAATTTTGAATTGAAATGACTGTATTTTTTGTAAGTGCCTCTTTTTTGCCGAACCGTAAATCTGAGAGGCGTATGTCCAGATGGGTTTGAGTACAGTATTTTCAGTCGCTTGTTTAAGGTCTGTCGTTTCATTTTGACGTGTGGGCCCCAGGTCATCCTTCTGTCGAATATTAGTCCTAGGTAACGTACTATGTTTGTCTGAGGAATTCGGTTCTCTCCTATATAAACCGGTGGGCACGTTTCTCGTCGAAGTGTAAATGTTATATAATGTGACTTGTCATGATTTAATCTTATTTTCCAAAGTGCATACCAAAATGCATTTAAATCTAAATATTTCTGTTCATAGATGGCAGCATTCAAGAAGATATAGTGAAGAAGATATTAACTAAAACTGCCATACTGCCTAGCATCTACATCTACTGACAAAAGATAGAGAAATCGAGATACTGTAAGCACACTGAATTTAGACTTTTCAAATTTTATGCTGGGTTTAGAAACGACAGTTGTATTCTAGTGGAAAGTTGACACTCCAGAAAGATTAAAAACACGTCAAAATAAAATATATGTATATAAGAAAACAGCTACTTTCTGAATTTTAACATTTCAAAACAGAAATGAATATAATAATAACAATACTTTATTTATTCTGGGACGAGTCCATTTAGAATAATACAGAAAGAAATAAATATGGGCTAAGGAGCCTCAGAGATACATAAATAAAGATACAGAGTAATGAAACAGTCATGGTAATAAAATTAAAAATTATAATTTACTTTCTAATTTTAATCAGTTAATAATAAAAAATAAAAAAATGATTTATATACATATTTACATTAGTATCTATTTACAATTTCATGGGGACTGGGTGGATAAGAAATGATTGAACAGGCGGGATTTAAAGGTAGGAAAAGTATTAGATTGTCGAATGTGGGAAGGGATAAAGTTCCAAAAGAATGAGGATCGGATAATGAAAGATCTGTCGAAAGCAGCGGTCGGTGGGCCCTTATGTATAAATCAGAAGACCTGGAACGAATATTGCGGGAACGAACAGAGGATTTGAATTGAAGGATCTCAAAGATGTATGAAGGACGGTGTGATTGGATAACTTGAAAGAGGAAGGATGCCATGAAATACTTACGACGGTAGGAAGGAGAAAGCTACTTCAACTCTGCTTAAAAATGGCAAACAGAGGCGTCCCTTGGTATCCCGAAGATGAATCGTACCAAGCAATTTACAGCAATAAATAAAGTAAACTGTATATCAATATGTAAAGTACATTGACAATTCAGTATTCTGTACAAGGTTTCCGTCGATGAATTTAGGAACGGTTTTATAAACTACCGATGGGATTGATGAATTCAGCGTTGAATTTTGGAAGTTACTCAATGTTTTATAGTTTTCATAGATTACCTTTACTTGACTTATCCTTTATATATCCACGCACGGATATTTTACCACTTAGAATTAAACCATTAATTATATGCATTTTTATGCTTAGTTAAGTATAACAGGAAAAAAGCGATCTCCTTGTTTTAATTCCGAAATTATCTGAAACATATAATCTCCGAATACTAATTACCGTTTCGAAACGTATCAGTAATAATAAAAAAAATCATAACCACCCCTAACATTTGACCTCGATTGTCACCAAAGGGAATTATGATTTTAGATGAGATAATTGCACTATCTCCGACTTAAATCCGTGGGATTTAGCTTGACAAAGGTGAGACAGGAGGAATTAACTCTACTCGTAACTAAAAGAAAAAGTTTAGAAGAGACATGAGATAAATGGTGACAGATCACGCAAGATGTCTACCAGAAGCTTGTTAGGAGATAATGTAATCATGAGCCATTTTAAAAAAATCCAGAGTTATTAAGTCTTTCTGGTAATAGCTTTGTAAAGTCCTCCTCTGCTCTTATAGTTAAGGTCTGGATTTAAATGGCAATAACAAAGCGTTGTAATATGACACATAATAAATCTTGAAAAAGCACGAATTGATCTATTAAAAAATAAATATTAAAAACATTACTTCACAATAAATGAATTTTTTTTTATTTACGATTTATATATTATATACTAGTATTTTAAAAGTTAATTTAACTCTCGTTCACTCCTCGACAAGTTGCATAACAAATCAAACAATTACCTAAAATAAAAACCCAGGTTATGACTTAATAACTGCCGAGGCGCTCCAGCAAATGCTCACGAAATCACTAGTGTTCGTTATAACAATATACAACTGTATACTAAGGACAACTAACTTCCAACTACAATGGAAATATTCGCATATAAAAATGATACACGAAAGAGACAAAGACATTTTCAATCCTACATCTTACCGACCTATATACCTGTCTCCTTCCAATATGTTCCAAGGTATTCAAAAAATTAATATAAAAAAGGTTTGTTGACCTACTAACGGACCAAAACATAATCCTGACCAACAATTCAGCATTCGTACATCTCATTCAATAACCAATTACACAGAGTTACTGATTATATTGCTGGAGCACTAGAGCAAGAACAAAATGCAACCGGCGTTTTTCTGGATGTTGCCCAGGCATTCGATAAAGTCTGGCATCAGGGACTTCTCTTTAAACTCAAAACTGTGCTACCTCATTCTTCAGTCTTTCCTTTTCGAAATATTTCCCTCTGTCCGACAGGGCTTAGAAATTTCCTCAATTCGACCAGTGTCGGCAGGAGTACCTCAGGGATCAATATTGGCTCCTTGACTCTACATTATCTATTCCATGACATGCCTACCACATCCGAAACATTGACTGCTACTTACGCTGACGATATATAACAATTTTAACAAAAAATCGCGACCCCAGACTAGCCTCACTGAATTTACAAAATAACTTACTAAATTTACAAAATTGGTATTCAATCAAGAAAATTAGATTAAACCATGACAAGCCACAACATATAGCATTTACACTTCGACGAGACACATGCCCATCAGTTTATATCGGCGACAACCAAATTCCTCAGACGGACACTGTATATTATTTCGGGCTAATATTTGACAGAAGGATGACCTGGGACCCACATGTCAAAATGAAACGAAAGACTTTGAAGAAGCGACTGACACCCTGTATAATAGCTATAACATTTATTTATAGCTAGAAATATAATTAATATTTAGTCAAATATCGATTTCGATACCAATTAACGATTAATTTAATAATTTTATATGACTAAAATAAAATAATTTGATCGAAATATGTATAATGTATTTCGTTTTTGAACTTAAGTATGCACTCAAATTAGATTTTGGCCATATATGCTCCATAGAATTTCGCCTTGAACGTTGTTTCATAAAGATATCGATTCATATTTTTAAAATAATTAAGGAACCAAAAATATGCATTGCATATAAATCAGGCCCTTACATATAATAGTATACATCTGGTTTTGTTTTTTTTATTTAGCTTACTTTTACCCAGTCATTCGCGACACTCTTGTCGCTCTCAGGCTGCCACCGAACTGTGGGAAACAATAGATAGGTAACTGAATTGACTAATGAGCAATAGGACGCACCTATAGTGTGCATGATCCAAGATAAACTATATTAGGGGTCGTTTGAGTAATCCGATGGAAGTGGAATAGAATCTTGCACAAAGGCTGCAGGTACAGGTAGAGGTATCCGACTGAGGCCCGACTACAAAGGCCACAGACAGACTCAATTCCACAGATCACCGCACAGAGCTATCGCCTCTGTTCTACCTTTAATCCACTCTTCGTCAGGTGAGATCACTGGTGAGGTAACTGCTAATGTAGCTAACTCGAATAGGTATTAATAAATGAGGAGGTTCTCAATCCAGCACTATATATGTTTGCGTATAACTATTAATTCAAACCAAATGTTGGACGGCGTTATTTTTTTTCCTGGAAATGATAGGATATTTTGTATGTTAGGGATTGGCTAAATTAAATAACTGGAACATTAATTTCTTTAAAAAGAAAATAAACATTGAAATTTGATGGCAGCCGTTAAGTAAACCCAATTCAAATTTCAACCATTATTGGCAGGAGTTCCTCATGGATCAATATTGGCTACTTTACTCAACATTTATAAATATTCATGGCATACAAAACAGCGTTATGGCAGTGCTTATCAGAGCGTTGCCCGCTTTAACATTCCCGAGTGGAGCGGGTTGAAATTGTTTGAAATTTATTTCGTGGCGGACCCGCACTCTATAACAACTCCTCCCTCACATCTCTCAGAAATGGCGAGGCAGAGAGCAATGGAAAAAAAGGGTAAATGGTGATATAAGAAAAATAGATATATTACAATACTATCTTGTAATATATATTTAAATTGGTTAATATTTTATAATTAAAATCAGAGAATAAGGGAGAAAAAAACTTTAAGGGAATTAATTTCAAAGTGACAAGCTTGGATTGTCATCTTACTGTAGGGTAACTATAGCTACCTTAAAGTTATGATAAGCCAGCTGTTCAATTAATTTAATTTATGTTACAATCACAACCATTCTAAATCTATGTGGTTTTGAGCGAAATATGAATGAAAATTGTCTATGACGAGTATATCTGTCACTTAAATTGTTTTGCTTTTACAAGTCAGCGAGCTTCCGAGATTGCCGAGCACAGCTAATCTCCATTTTAAGAGAAGAATAGTTGGGGTGCTCAGTCAAAAAAGGAAGGCAAAAAATAAATTATAATATTTATTTTTTACTTTTTTTGACTGAGCACCCCAACTATTCTTCTCTTCATTATCCACGACAGTCAACCAATTACCAATTATTAAGAGAATTTTATTTATCTTAAATCGAAACTTCACAAAGAGTTTTAGTAAATACCCGTATGGTTTACCAGAAACAGCT